TAAAAATAAATTTCATATATCAAACATAATAAAAAAATATTTAGTTTACAGAATTTAAGATTTCAATTAAGAAAATGATTCCCTCGTACTTTTTTTGATAGATTTCATATAATAAAAGATTTCGACATTAGATTTAAAATAAGATAACATAAAATTTTTATATTTGATTTAGGAAATCTAAAATTATTTGATTAATTTTTTTATTATATTATATTTGATGATACTTTACAAACAAGAGAATCACTTTACAAGAACTAAAATTTCTAAAAATTTTAAATCCTGTGAATCAAATACTCTTCAAAAAAAAATTTTAAGTTGACTTTTTATTCATAGTATTCATCAATTGACAAATGTGTTAATAGGTTTTTAATACAAAAAATTAACAAAAAAAATATTAACAAAAGGATCATTTTATTATAACATTAAAAATAAAAAAATTAGTAAATTATTTTTAAAATTATAAAAATCAAAACAATATTCATTTCAAAATTAAAAGATTACAAGTGTAATTCACCTTTTTTTCCCCCCTGTTTAAAGCTCCTATAAACATTTTGAATTAAAATATTGAAGAATTGATTATTACATCAATCATGCTGTCCTGTAATGAAAATGATGCAACTTGGATTGGATCCTAGACTTTTCAGTTGCCTTCTTTGCACGTGTGTTAGAACGTGGAAAATCGATAATATAAAGATAAAAGACTATATTTGATGATAAATATGATAAGATAATAATAAATTTATATTATATTTGATTTATTTATAAAAATAAATAATTATCATTATAAAATTATTTAATTCTCTCAAAATGAAAAGTATTATTTTTTATTTATGAGATTGAATTTATATATTTTATTATATTTTTAAAAAATATATAAATAATTTAAATTATATAAATTTTAAGAAAGAATAATTTTAATTAATAAATAAAATTATTTTATTTTAATTTTTATAAACATTAAATATAAGATGAGATATCATTATTCAATATAATTTTATTTATAATATTATTTTATCTTATCTTATTATAGTAATTTTATATATTAAACAAACTTCTTCTTTCTCACTTGTGTGGTTTTTTGCGGATTTTTTTGTTTTTATTTCATTAGCTTATCCGCAAGCCAACAACTGAAAAGTAATAATAAAAAAACCCCATAAAATCAGTCGCTATCAAATCACCAACTTTAGAAATGTCAAATTAAAACCACTCCAAAGTGTGTCAAATCTTAACCAATTCAAGTTTCAAAATTATTAAATATCAAACAACAATGTCAATCAATTAATCCTTCAAATTTGACTATAAAAAATAAATTTTTATCAATTTCATTGTTTTAATCTTATAATGTAATTAATTTTAAATAATAATACATAATAAATAAATAATTTTTTAAATATAATATTATTTAATAAATTTATAATTCAAATATTATATTAAAAAATTTTAAAATTTAAATATTACAGTAAATATTTTATTATAATTTAAAAATCATTCACAATATTAATTTTTTTATTATATTAATTTGATTTATTTACTATATTATGTGACAAATTTTTAACACCATTTCATTAAGTGTAAAAATTTTAAAAACGATAAATTAATTTTCTCAATATTTAAACCCAATAACACATTTTGGTAAAAAAAAAAAAAACCAATAGCCTACACTCATCCAAAATCCAATCCACCTCCCTAACACCTTATTTGTCCCTGATGAATGACCCAGTCCACCCGTTATACTTAATTGTATTAAAGCGAACTAAAAAGCAAGAACCATGACAATGAGAGATTGCGTTAATGGTAAGGAGACTTTGAAATCTTCCAAGTCTCTAAGTTCAAATTTCAATATATTTGAATTTAGTCCAATTTTAAATTACTCTTTTTTTTTTTAATATACATATTGAAAGGTATTTGATTATAATTATGACAGTAGTAGGCTAGTCGATACAAACTCCTAGGACACGGCGTGAACCTATTGGACCCATAAAAACAAATAAACAATCATTTACCTCCTCTTTTGGGGTAACAAGTCCACTTATATATCGATAATGATAATTATAATGTTCGGGTAATAATTCTTATATTTATATTATATTTTATATAAAAATTATGTTTTATAATTTAAAAATATGATCTATATTTTTTATATTATAATTTAAAAATATTCATAATATTAATATTTTATTATATTAATTTGATTTTTTTATTATATTATGAAATAATTTTTTAACTTTATTTTGTGTAAGAATTTCAATAGCTAGGAATGATCCAATCCACCTAACTAACACCTTATTTGTCGAATGATCAAGTCTACCCGTTGTATTTAATTGTATTACAGCGAACTAAAAAGCAAGAACCATGAAAATGAGAGATTGTAAGGAAACTTTGAAATTTTCCAACTCTCCGAGTTTACATTTCAATGTATTTGAATTTAGTCCAACTTTAAATTACTTATTTTTTAAAACATATTAAAAGGTATTCGATTATAATTATTACTTGTAATATATAACATCATAAAAGAAAAAATTATTAGGCAGGAATTGGTACAAGTCAAATCACAATACCATATTAGCATATAGAAAATGACGGCAGTAGGCTAGTCCATACAAACTCCTAAGATACGGAGTGAACCTTTTGGACCCATACAGACAGATAAACAATCATTTACCTCCTCTTTTGGGGTAACAATTCCACTTAAATATCGATAATGATAATTAGAATGTTCGGGTACTAATTTTTATATTTATATTATATTTTATATCAAAATTGTGTAATATAATTAATGTTATATAAAAATAGGATCAATATTTTTTATTTTTAAAAAAATTAAATTAAATTATTTTTATATTTTAAAAATATTATTTATATCATATCATTATATTATATTTTAAATTATAAAATTTTATATTTGATTGATATAATATAAATTGTCTTTTGGATAACTAATGTGTTATCCAAGGGGAAATACAAAAAAGGGGGTTTTAAAATTTTTATTGTTATTATATTTTATCAATCTCTCCCTTCTCTTTATTATCTTAAATATTTGATCATTCTCTCACCTATTTGTTTTAAAAGAAAGTATATCATTTATAATTATTTTAGTGTAATTAATTAATCAAAATTTAACATTATGTGAAGTCTATCAAAATTTTTATAAAATTTATACTTTGAAGGGCTCGATCTTAAAATAAATTTTTATTGTTATTAATTAATTTTAAAATTATAATATAAATAGTTTTAAGTGAAATCTTTCCCCCCTTTTTTTTATATGATCCGTTTGCCATACTTGTAAGAAACAAAAAGGAGCAGTAGTTTTTGTTATTTAAATTCAAATCATAATTGTTTTAGGTAGTTTCTAACAATTTGAAATCCAGAACTACCATGTAATTTCTTTTTTGGTTGAATTCCATCCAATATGGGCATATGTGACATCCAACATGTGTAAACAACTTGACATCTAAATAAATTAAAATTTTAGTTCAGTTATTTTATAAAGTTATTTTTTAAAAATAATATTCTATAAATGTAGAATATTTTAATTTTAACGTTTACAATATTTTTTTCTATTTAAAAAATTAAACAACGATTTCTTTTGTTAAAAAATAATTGGGTTATCTTTAGTCGTTATAAGGACTGATTGTTATATTTAATTTTTCATTATATGAATATGAATATTAAAATAAAAAATACACTATCTCCATTCCTTTTTTTTTTGGTCTTTTTATTCTCATACTTGTTAAAAAAATTTATTTTATGTGTTTAATTTTAAATTTAATTTTTATGATATTAAAGTACAGTAATTTTTATTATAAAAATAAATAATTTAAAATATAGAAAAATAAGAGTAATAATTGTTAAAAATGAAATAAAAAAGTTAAACAAAAAGAGAGAGTAATAAATAAATAACAATGTTATAAAAACTTGTTTTCTGAAATTAATGGAACAATCAAATGAAGTTATGAGACACCTGATATGTTTTTGTGTCCAACTGAAAATTCATGCCGATGGTTACGTAGGAATTGGTGCAATTTAAAAAATAAAAGTCAAATCACGATAGCAGGTTGATTAGTCAAGGGAAAATCCTAGGATACGTCTGAACCATTTGGACCCAAGCAAACGACCCTTTATCTCATCTTTTGAGTAACCATTCGGCTTAAATATTTGACGGTTTTACACTTGTTATGAAAATAAATTAATATAAAATACGAAATTTATTATTTTAAAAAATAATGTTTAATAAATTTATAATTTAAATATTTATTATTATAGTTTTTTTTTCCTTATTCTTGTTCGTTGGAAGATAACAACTTGCCTCTCAAAATCCTTTAAATAATAGTTTAAGTACAAGATGAAAATTTTAGCATGAAGACAAAATTTAGAATGCATCAAAATAAATGAATCAGTTGTGATCAAATTTAAATCTGGTAAATTTTTATTTTTATCTTTTAATATTAAATTTTATTAAAATTAATTACTATAACATAAGGTATATTTTTTTAAATTATACTCATTATTACATCCATATAATCAATTTGATAATCAATTAATAAATTGTAATTTAATTAAAAAATTAAACCCACACATAAAATTATTTGAATTTAAAATCTCAAAATTTTATGAACTCTCTTTATTATTAAGTCTACCTTATTAATCATAAAGTATTTGTCTTTAAATAGCTTAAGAAGATAATGAAAATGTAAAATCTTTTTCTTCACTTTTAATTTTCTAACTTGATTCAACATTAATGATAAATTTAAATCTATTATTAAATTACTTAGTTATAAAAATGTTTATTTTTATTCATTTAATTGTGATTTATTTTATAATTTAATTAATTAATTAATTATATTAATACATAAATGATTATTATTTATTATAACAAAGTGGTTTGAAACTTTAAAAGAAAAGAAAGATAAAATCACAAAAAATAAAGTAAATCAAAGGTGGTAAATGGTAAGGATATTTTTGTTTAACCTCGCACACAAAGCCAAAAATGAAGAAACGTACAAAAACCGGCGAACCATCATTGACTAAGACGTCTGTATCGCTATTCTCAACCCCACATTACCCCCCATTACTATTCAAGCATCACGTATGATTCTGAAATACCCGTCTATGCGACTATAAAATAAAGCTGGCCATGCTCCACTTTTCTTGCTCTCCAAAACTGCAAACTAAAAATCAAGATAGCCAAAAATTATGAGGCCTTCATTTGCATTTGCATGGTTTCTCTTTCTCCTTACTCTTTTCCAATTCACCGCTTTTTCTTTCTCGTCTGTACAGCCAGTGCTTTGTCATGACGATGAACGCCTTGCTTTGATGCAATTCAAGGAAAGCTTCATCATCCACGAGCACGCATCTCCTGCTTCCTCGTATGCTTATCCTAAGGTTGATGACTGGACGTTTCAAGGAGTTGATTGCTGTTCATGGGATGGCGTCGAGTGTGATCAAATCACCGGTCAGGTGATAGGCCTGGACCTCAGCAGTAGCCTCCTTTATGGCTCTATCAATTCCTCCAGTAGTCTCTTCCACCTTGTTCACCTTCAAAAGCTTAACCTCGCACACAATGACTTCAATTACTCTGTGATTCCATCTGCGTTGGGCAATCTTTCGATGCTGACATATCTCAATCTCTCTAATTCTGTATTTTCTGGTCAAATACCGTCAGAAATTTCAAAGCTCTTTCGATTATCTTCCCTCGATCTGTCAAATAATTGGGATCCTAACTCCTTTCAACGGTTGTTAGAACTCAAAATACCTGATCTGAAGAGCTTAATACAGAATTTTACAGACTTAAAACACCTTCATCTCTCGTACGTAGATGTGGCTTCTCCGATTCCTAGTGTCTTAGCCAACTTTTCCTCGCTGACGTCCCTTCATCTCGAGCATTGTGGACTGCTGGGCAAATTTCCATTACCCATTTTCCATCTACCAAACCTTCAAACCATTTGGCTGGTACACAACTTGGGTCTCACGGGTTACTTTCCAGAATTCAATTTCACCAGCCAACTTAAAGTCTTAGCACTCTTGAACACAAGTTTTTCTGGTGAGTTAGCTGCTTCAATTGGAGACCTTTATTCATTGGAATTCTTGGGAATTGGTCTTTGCAACTTCACAGGGTTAGTGCCATCTACGTTGGGTAATCTCCCCAATCTCCAGTTTCTGGATCTTGGACGCAATTTTTTTAGCGGTAAGTTACTGTCAATCGGAAACCTTATTTCCTTGGAATATTTTTCCTGTTTTTTTGGTACATTATTTTCTACTTGAAGGTTCTTAATTGCTACTTCACAGGTTTAGTGCCATCAACTCTGGGTAATCTCACCAAGCTCTATCATATGGATCTTCAAAAAAATTATTTTACAGGTGAGCTACCTGACTCAATTGTAAACCTTATTTCTTTGGAATATTTTTACATTCGTTATTGCAAATTCGCAGGATTAGTTCCAGCTATGCTGGGTAATCTCGCCAAGCTCATGGTTTTGGATCTTGGAAGTAATCTTTTTAAAGGTGAGTTACTTGTCTTAATTGGAAAATCATTATTTCTTTCAAATTATTGAAGTTAGGCATTGCATTTCAACAGGGTTAGTGCCATCTACGTTGGGTAATCTCCCCAATCTCCAGTTTTTGGATCTTGGACGCAATTGTTTTAGGGGTAAGTTACTGTCAATCGGAAACCTTATTTCCTTGGAATATTTTTCCTGTTTTTTTGGTACATTATTTTCTACTTGAAGGTTCTTAATTGCTACTTCACAGGTTCAGTGCCATCAACTCTGGGTAATCTCACCAAGATCTATAATATGGATCTTCAAAAAAATAATTTTACAGGTGAGCTACCTGACTCAATTGTAAACCTTATTTCTTTAGAATATTTGTACATTCGTTATTGCAAATTCACAGGATTAGTTCCAGCTATGCTGGGTAATCTCACCAAGCTCATGGTTTTGGATCTTGGAAGTAATCTTTTTAGAGGGGAGTTACTTGTCTTAATTGGAAAATCATTATTTCTTTCAAATTATTGAAGTTAGGCATTGCATTTCAAAAGGTTAGTGCCATCAAGCTTAAATATTTGGGTCTTCAAAATAATTCCTTTTGGAACAAATTTATCATATGTGCATGCATGCATGCATAGTCCAACTGGAAGAATGGAGTTGAACTCCTCCCTAAATGTTTTACATTTGATCCAAAAAAAACCTTTCTTTTTGGCCCTGAGATATATTCTCTTCCATCGATCATTTCTTGCAAATCTGACTGAATTTATTGTAATCATTTTACAGGTTCTATTCCTCCAGAGCTAACGAACCTGACCCAATTAACTTATTTGAACCTAATGGAAAATATGTTAGAAGGGTCAGTTCCAAGCTCAATCTCGAGACTCAAGAAACTAGAATTTTTTGACTGTGACGAAAATAGACTGGATGGCATTGTGGAGCTTGATGCATTTCTTGAGCTAAAACATCTGAAGTATCTGTTTCTATCCTTAAATAATTTCTATTTAATTTCTAGAAATAATACCAATGCCACCAGTCCTCAGCTTGTTGATATAGGATTGCGTTACTGCCATCTAAGAGGGTTCCCAGATTTCTTGCGTAACCAACATCAATTGCAACTTCTTGATCTTTCTTCCAACAACATTCAGGGCCAGATACCGAAATGGATGTCGAAAGTGAGCATTGAAACTCTGTTATTTTTAGACCTTTCAAGCAACTCTCTAACGGGTTTTGATGAATTCCCGGTTGTTCTTCCATGGTCCAAATTAGGCTATCTAAAACTTGATTCCAACATTCTTCAAGGTTCACTCCCAGTTCCACCCTTGTCAACTATTTTCTATTCCATCTCAAACAATTCCATCACCGGAGAAATCCCACAGCTCTTGTGCAACCTGAGCTCTCTTTCAATTCTTGATGTTTCCCATAATAACTTGAGTGGTGAGATCCCTTTGTGTTTGAGCAACTTTAGCAAGTACTTATTGGTACTGAGCGTGCGCTCCAACAACTTTCATGGTCCCATTCCACATAGTTGGGCGAGTGGAAACAGATTAAAGATGATAGATTTGGGCAAAAACAAATTTCAAGGAAAGATACCAAGATCGCTGATGGAGTGTGGAATGTTACAATATCTTGATCTCGGGAACAATCAGATTAGCGATGCATTCCCTTCATGGCTGGGGACTCTTCCAGAGTTGAATATTCTGATTTTATGCTCTAATGCACTTTATGGTATGATAGGGGATCCTGAGTCCCATTGTGTCTTTCCCAAATTGCGAATCATCGATCTCTCTCACAACAGATTTAATGGGACACTGCCTTCAGGCTACTTTGAAAGATGGAATACCATGAGAAGTCTTGATGTCAGGAACTCATCAGCTAGTTACATGCTTGAATACTTGGATATGAGGATCAATGTAATGCATGTTCCCAGGTATTATATTTATTCCATGACAATTACAAACAAAGGCAGAGAAATGCTGTACCCAAAGATCATTCAAACTCTTGTAGCCATTGATCTCTCGAGCAACAGATTTGATGGAGAAATTCCAGAATCCATTGGGAGTCTCAAAGAGCTTCACTTGCTTAATGTTTCGAATAACATTCTGGTTGGCCGCATCCCATCAGCTATAGCGAAGCTAAAGAATCTCGAAGCATTGGACCTTTCTCAGAACAAGCTAGCTGGAAGAATTCCTTGGGAGTTGAGTACACAACTCACTTTCCTTGAGGTTCTCAACGTCTCTCATAATAATCTCACAGGACCTATACCGCAAGGCCAGCAATTCGATACTTTCCAAAGTAGTTCCTTCGAAGGAAATCTTGGGTTGTGTGGAAAACAGTTGCTAAAAGAATGTGACAGTAGTTCTGGAGCCTTGCCACCTCCTTCATCTTCAATTTCTGAAGACTCTGGATTTTTCGTTGGATTGCATTGGAAAGTAGTCTTGCTGGGTTATGGAAGCGGATTCCTCATTGGAGTGACGATTGGGCATGTTGTGACCACTAGGAAAAGTGATTGGTTTGCCAAGACTTTCTCCAAAATTAGTCGTGGAAGAACGCATAGGAGGTGAATAAATGCAAAAAAGTGGACTTTGCTGTGTCATATATTATTAAGCTATGTATAGTGATGATAGAACGGTACGCCCAATTGCCTTTTTCCTTTGCAGATCATCGCCAGTCTTGTTGTAATGAAAGAAGTAGAGATGGAAGGAAATCATTAATCCGAGGGAGAGGGAGAGACAGAGAAACAGAGATCAGTTTCCATGTTCTACCTGTAGATGTAAGACGAAGGAACACCATACTTGAAGCTATCGTGGGCTTTGAGCCGTTTTGTATTTGTGTTAGGGATTTTCGATTGTTTCTAAACAGCTTCTAACAAAAGATACGATAATGAATTATAAAAAAAAAGTTTTCAATCGACTTGTATTTTTTAAAGAATAAAAAAATGACGATGGCATAAATATGTAGAAGGATAAAAATTGTATTAAAAAGACCTTGCCAAAAATAAATTTATTAAGAATAAGATTTGACCAAAAAAAAAAAAATCTATTTGGAATAGAACTTTGAAAGCTCATCCTCTATTTAAAGATGTTTAATTTGCCTCGCCATGGGAATATTCATGCAATTGTCGTTAGAATAGTTTTGCTTCTATCCCATGTGTTAAGAGCTAGCAAACATAGAAAGGGACAAGCAATATTCTGTTACCAGAAGATTCGGCATAGCATCTTTTCATTTTTGAAGAAGGTTTTTTTTTTTTTTTCGTGTGTAGTGTTATTAGAGATTAGAGACGTTGTTGGTTCGTTGCAATCAAGTTTGAGGTAAATCTTGACACCATAAAAAAGCAAAGTAAGATTTGTTTTATCTACTGCATATGCATATTTGTGTAGCTCGTGATTTATATAGTTTAGGGAAGTAAAATTTTAAAATTTCGCTATGTTTACATGTATGTCTCCAATAATCATTATTTTTCTTAATTTTATTTGATAGTTATATAATTTTGATCTAATAGGTGATTATTTTTTTATTTAATTTTCTAAAAAAGACTATATGAAATGGTTTTTCTTAATTAACATATGTCATTTCCATTCAAATTATGTCATATAATCATATTATTAAAAAAATAAATTATTTATTACACATTACGTGTAATGCTTAAATGATAAATATTTGTTTTAATAGATTTATATATATGATATATAAGAAATGTTTGATTTTTTCAATAGGGTTAATATCATGAATAATCTCTAAATTATATTAAAATATTTAATATGATACTCAAATTTTAAAACTTTTTAATATTATACATAAATTATAAATTTATTAATTAATGTGATATTCATTTTTAATATAATTAGCTTTAAATGATAATAACTGATGGATAAATAATTTTTAAGTATCAAATTAATTAATAGAAAATAAAATTTTTTTATTAAAAGCATCAATATTTTAGACAATTAATAACTTTTTTTTATTTTTTATGTATGATATGCTATGAGGATGGAATACAAATAAAAAATTATCTTGTCTTTATTTTATAGAATATATAAAATAATTTAGATTGGATTAAGGACATTTCATATAGACCATGCGTTGGAACATAGTGTGTGTCCTAACACAACATAACTAATATTTCACTTTTCATTTAAGGTTTTTTTTTTTTTTTTAAAATTTGTGGACGTGTATACGTTAACTGTTATTTGTGTTTGCAAAATTCATTATATTTCAAGTTAATTAGTACTTATTAAATTTATTTATTCACGTGAAAGAGCGGAATGATATATGTTAAGCTATATCACGTAAATCATTTTTTGTTTTTTTCATAATTATGACAACAAAACAGTAATATATATACATATATATTTTTGGAAAGATCAAGTTATTTATTATACTCATAATAAAAAATATATAAAATCAAATTTTGGATTAAAAAATTAAATATAAATAATATATTCTTTTAACACATGTACAATCTTAAAAAAAAAAAAATCCAATACTTAAAATTCTAAAATTTTATGGTATTATATTTTTCATGAAGATATTATTTGGTAGATATTAAAAATTTATATATAATTTATTAAAAAAAAAAAAGAAAATTCAATCGAAAAGAGTTTTGAGATGTCGCAGTCAAAAGTGTAAGATACCCGTCCTTTGTGGCCGACATTGATAGACTAAAAGTTTAGAAAATAAATAAAGCACGGACCTGAAAATGTGAAATAATTTTGTAAGGTCCTTTTCCAAAAGTGAGCGACGACCTATCAGCTTGACTCGTTTCTTACCCCACCAGACTTTCGTCGGGAGAGGCTAACACGAAACACGTTGGAATATTAATTCAATGGTTCTAATCAATTCACTCTCCAAATCAGAAATTAATTCAAAAAAATTATCAAATCCTCCTTTTAAGTTTTAACCATGTACCGCAAAACCAATTTAAGACATATTAGAATTTTAAGTATTGGATTTTTTTTTTTTTAAGATTGTACATGTGTTAAAAGAATATATTATTTATATTTAATTTTTTAATCCAAAATTTGATTTTATATATTTTTTATTATGAGTATAATAAATAACTTGATCTTTCCAAAAGAATGTAATTTTTTGACACATCAAGAAGGATTTTAGCTACTAAAGGAATTTGGCCAATGAATGAGAATAGAAACATCTTTTTATCTGAGCATAAAAATGAAAATCATCTTTTAAAGTGTAATTTATTTTGGCATTCCTTTTAGTTCTTGATATGTAGCATTTTAATAAATATTAAGACAAACTATGGCACGTTCAAAATTTTAGGTTTGAAATATGAACAAGGCCCAAATTTTAGAAGGAATCTTCATGGTGAAATTGATCTCCTTGGGCTTTTAAAGAAAAGTTTCCAACGTCCCTTCAAAATGACTCATTGGTACTACATGAGTCATGAGCTACTTTCTTCAATCTTACTCTGATTTGCCCTTTCGAATTTTCATTTTAGAGCTTTATTTTTTTTTCTTTTTTTATTATTCCATCATGTATTTGAAAGTTCAAAATTCATTTAAAATCAAATCATAATGATTTTCTAAACAACAAGCTTCCAACTTAGGTATCCTCACATGATCAAAATGAACTTTTTAAAGGACGTAGTATACTCCAGGGTTTAAGGTTTTGAAAAAAAAGATAAATAGGCCCAAAAATGTATTTAAAAGTGATCAAACCAATAATCATTTTTTTTAAAGACATTTTTCTTTTTCTCAAAACATGTATTTTCACGTTTCTTTTTTTTTATTCTTTTTTTTTTTTGCATGAGTTCAAAATTTTAGAACTCATCTTTTTTCAAGCTTGCCCCCTTTAACATAAGACATTATTTTCGAAATCTCAACTCAATATCACATTCTATCTTGATGAGATCTCTCTTATTCTTTTTCTTAAACTTGCCCCCAAATTTGAAGGGTGATCCTTAGTTAAGATTCATTCAGAAAAAATACTTAATAGGCTAAAAAAGAGTAGCAAATAGATATTTTTTTTTGTAAGATTGCCATTTTTCATTTTAAGTATGGATACCTATTGAAAAGTAGTTTTTAGGAGACAACTTATTTTTTGATTGACTTTAAGTTCATTTGAATACCCTACATGCATTATTTCACAATCAACTCTTTTTTTTTTTTTTTGTAACTCATACTCATATTGCATTTTGATAACAAACCTATCCAAATGTTCATCAATCAAAAAGGTTATCTGGGATATTAAGTAAATTTAGTTTTTTCAATAAATTTGCCCTAAGGTAAGGATAGAGAATTGCTTAATGAAGGATTGAAAAATGAGAAGAATGTAGCACAAGCCTAAAATACTAAAAAAATTGAAAAAATATGGTTCAAGGAATTTTGGTGGTGCTTGACATTTATCCAATCATCAAAATTCAAAAAGCTTATGAGAGTGCTTTAAAATATCTACAAATTAATCGACCATCTCATTACTCATAGCCTAAATAAAGATCAATAAATTTTAAAATTCATCAATAAGTTTTGAAACTTTCATCCTTAGAAATTCTTAAAGCTTTTAATCTTTTAATTGAAAAGAATAAAATGTTCAGGAAAATGGCTTAAGATGCTCATAGTAATCACTAAATTCATTGAGATTTTTTTACATGCATTTGTAGCAAGTCTAAACAAACATTGCTTGACAAATTTTTAATTTAGGTCAATAACATGAATGGCTCGTAAATTATAATAAAATATTTAACATGATATCTTAATTTTAAAAATTTATTATATAGTATTTGAATTATAAATTTATTTACTAATATGATACTCACTCTTAATGTGAGTACTTCTGAATGATGATACTTAATAAATAAATAACCTTCTAAATATTATATTAATTAACAAATTGATAAGTTAAATATCACATTAAATATTTTTAAAGTTAAAGTATCACATTATATATTTAACTATAATTTAAAGGTCATCCGTGAATCAAGATATTATCCTTTCTAGTTTTTATTAGGTAGTTTTTATAATTTTTAAAGCAAAAATATACCATTAGTCACAAAATAATAGTAAAATTTTTAAAATGTTCACCTAACTATTACAATTTTCGATTTAATCACTAAATTTTGAATAAATATTTTTTGTCACTAAACTATTAATTTCTAATGATGTGTTAATATGAAAATGTTGCATTGGCTACCAGGTGTCACATGATATTACTATATCAGCAAACTATTTTTTTCAAAATTTATAATACAATATCATGAATGTAATATGATATGTTAAATGACACAACAATATCATATGACACTTGACAATTAACGTGGTATTACCATATTAACATGCTATTAAAAATGAATGATTTGGTGACAAAAAAATATTTACTTAAATTTTATTGACTAAATAAAAAATTTAATAATTAGATTATTATTTAAAAAATGTGATTGTAATTGAATGACTAATAATATATTTTATCATATTTTTTAATACGTGGAGTATAATTTAAGACAAAAGTATATATTAGAATAAAATATTACTCAATAACCTAAATAAACTAATTAATTGAAACAAACTTTTTTTCCAAAATTAATTTATTTTTATTTCTTAATTTTTATTGAGTTCGTGTTTGTACAATGAAATTTATTTTTTCAAAGGGCAATTATATTCACAACATATTTGTTACTCTTCATATTTAAAAAAATATATTTTAAAATAAAATTTTTAATTATCTTTTCTCTTTTCTTTTTTTTTAACATTCTTTTCATTTTTTAACTTGTTGATTTTCAAGTTCAAAAGTTTTTAAAAATTTTTGAATTTGTAAATTTGAAAATTATTAAAAGTTTTTAGAGTTGCATATATAAAATCTTTTAAAATTTTGGTATATTTGTATATTCGAAAGTTTAAAAATTTTTATAAGATTTTTTTAATTACTTTTTTCATTAAACCTAAATGTAACTGTTTTTTAAAATTTTCATAAATGATTTTTAGTACGTTATTTAACTTATTAGATATATATTTCTGAAAGGCATAATTGGTAAATATATATTCAAAAATTTTAAAATTAAGATAAAAAGAATAATTAAATAATTGTATTTGAAAAAAATTAAAAAAAATGTAGAGAGAAAAAATGGGGTACATTTAAGAATCACCTTTTTTTAAAACAAAAAAACATTAAACTAGTTCAATAAACGATCCTTGGGATAGTGGTAGTTTTACAATCCCAATAGTCGTACCTTAACCGAGCCAAAACGACAAAAAGTTCTCTTAACCATTAATTACTAATCAAAACGCTGAAACTCTCACTGAGGAAACATAGGAAGCAAAGGGCAACGATGAAGACGATCAAAGTCATAGTACTGATAGTAGCTTTCATCCTCGCACTTTCTCTTTTGTCGTTTCCTTCAGTCGGATTCCAATCCGACGAGCTGCTCGTTGACGACGAAGAGTTTGGATTCGAGGGGGCTCCCCAACTTCGCTCCCCTGAACTATTCTCCACCGGATCCGCACTAGTAACAACCCCGATCCGGAAGAGACTTTCGGATCTCGATTCTCGATTCTGATTCTAAGATCCATTTCTCTCTTGACCACGCTTTCGGTGACTCCGATTTCTCTCCCGCTGGCACTTTCTCCGCCCGCGTTAAAAACTTGGAGCCATGGTGGCCAGGTTTACTAACCTCCTTTTGTTTTTTTGTTTTTATTCTTTTTAAAGCAGATTTTTAGTTTTCATTGTCTTAATGCAAAATCATAACTGCAATGCGAATTCTAACAGAAATTTTCTATGTTAAAAGTAAAATCATGCACAATATAAATTTTTGGTAAAAAAACCATATATTTTCTTTTATATCCAAATGAGCTTCTCTGCTTTTTTGCTTCGGGAAGCAAAAAAGAACAACCAAACGTATCCTTAATTGCTAAAGGAAAGGAAAGTGGAGTCACATTGTGAGGTGGGAGCTGCTGCCTTAGGAACATAGCTATGTCATTGGCAAGAAATTGTAATGTCAAGCTAACTTTTTTAAAAGAGATAAATTCCAAATTTGTTTTGTCACTACACTCAATTTGGTTGAATTTTGACATTGTACATTTATTTTGAACCAAATTTGGACAAAAATTAATGGAGTGGTGAATGTTGAATCATGATCTCAGGTTTTTTTTTTTTTTTGGTGAGTTGGAAATAAAAATGAAAAAAATAAAAAATAATATGTTAACAATTGCCATGTGTATATGTTTGTTGTGAAATTTCATGCCATTGTTTCTGCTCCTCCACATCTTATTTAAATATTTAAACAAAATATTCAATGGAGTATTCCTTCAATAATAACTTTTATCGAAAAGTCAACCAAATAAAAGTATGGTGGTAAAATTAATGCAATTGAAGTACGCTGAGAAAATTCAACATTGAGCCTCAGTATAGTGGCAAATTTGGTACTTATCCTTGTTAAAAAGAAAGGCTTCTGAGTTCTTTGCAATTTAAGGGGTCATTGTATTAAACTATTACTTGGTTTCATACTAAATCTTAAAAGTAGGTATTGGACTGTTTTTGGAAAGGTCATTAGTATTAGAGAGGAGTTTACTGAAGCTTAAGCTCTATATTTTTCAATTTCTTTCTAGCAGCTTGGCTATGTAACACCTGCTACTCCCAAAGTTCTTAAAAATTTGATAAAAGCCTTTAAGTAAATTGAGAGATTAGTGTTGCTGATAAGAGGCTTAGGTAAGTGTCAGCATCTATAATTGGCAATACCAAACAAATTTGTAATCAATTGTGTAGAATAATTAGTTTGCTGCTCCTTTTTCCCTTCGTTTCTCAGCCAACAATGAAGCATAAAATAGTTGACCAAAGGTTTGGAATGACTTAAGGTCATGTTTGGTGCATAGGATAATGGATAGGATAGGATGATAATCATCCTATATTATGTTTGATTTGTATCTAAAGAACGGGATAGGATTACAAGGAGGATTATCATCCTCTGGGTATAGGATTAATCAATCTTCCCAAAGTGGAGAGGATTATTATTAATCCATGAGATTGAACTTACGTGTCCTATCATACCCTTGAAAATTATATCAATAATTTAAATTGTATAAACTTTGAATAAGGATAATTTTAACCAATAAATAAATTATCCTATCATAATCCTTGTACACATCAAACATAAGATAGGATATTATTTAATCTAATCCTATTCTTAATGTCATCTTATCCTATCCTATCATAATCTTGTGTACCAAACATGACCTAAGTTCCTTCAATCCTGAAGTGACTTTCTTTTGCACATGTTTGTCATTTCTTTTATTTTTGGGGAAAGCTCTTATATAGTTTCTTTGTAGTTTATATAGTTCTCATTAATTTTTTTGTTTGACTGCAGAGATGTCTTCCAAGGGAGGGTTTGGATGAGCATTTTGTAATACACATGGTAATTTTCCAACTTCAGTGGCAGAAATTGGTTATTTGTAGATGTTCTCACTCAATCCTTCTCTTCTCTCTCTCTCCTTTGTATGTGTGCCTGCATATGCAAACAGTCCTTTTATGTGATGAAGTTTTGCTGGGTGTTCAAGAAGTGACAAAAAAAACTTCTGCAGTTCTTTCAAAGCCACATGTAGATGAAGACTCTGAAATCTTGTGCTCTATTTTCTCCAAAAATTACTTCATCAATAGAGCCTTAATGCTTCTGGATTTTCCAGTGTCCTGTGAAATTTCTTGTCACTAAAATCAGGATGCAGATCAGCATAAATCTTATTCATATATCAGTGACACCATTACTGAATCTTGGTGGCTGCATGTGCATTCAGAAGATAAACCAAACAAGAATTAACCTGTGATTTAAGTTCTCTCTGTTTATGAAACATGCTCTTGTCAGTGCTGATATATATATATATATATATATATATACATGATTCAGACCAAAAGGAATGCAAATATCTGGATTTAGCTTCTTAGAATTGTCCATGGTTGAGAGTGGTCAAATGCCTCTTTGAAATCTTGGTGTTCAACTGCAAATGGTCTTAATTGGTTTCAGTCTTTCTTTATCAACTTTTGACTGTTATCTCAGTGTAGGTTGCTAAAATTGGAAAAAAGGGCAAGAACACCAATTGAGCTGGTTATCATGAATGCTATGCTGTACAATTTTTGTTGAACTGTTATTTAGATGATAAATGATCTTATCATTAGAACTTTCGTCTCTTCAGCATGTGCCAAAATGTGTGTAGCATGTGCTTCCTCGTTTCTACTTCTTGATATTGCCCCTGCCCAAGCATTTGAAAAGTTTTAATTTCTTTTGTCTTTTCGCCTTCAGTTACTGTTGCCTTTTGCAACACCATCCAGGCAAAAATGCTTTTTTTTTTTTTTTTGATAAGCAATTGCATTTGGCTTAGAATGATTCAATTTTTTTTTTTTAATAATCATACCAAACAGAATTTAGCATTGTTGACCTGTATTACTATACAGCATTTTAGAGTACAAAATGGCATTTTATTTGGTCTGTTGAGGATACCAGATTATTGGCACGCTTTCATGTTGAATAACTTGTTGAAAATAAAATTGGAATGGCATTTTTTTTTAAGTTTCAATGTGTTAAGTCCATTTGACACTTTGCTCTTCCTTGTTAAGGACTTCTTACAATGACAGTTTGTTGACATATAAGTTTGGTTTGTGTATGCACTACCTTGTAAATTTTTTCTGCTTATACATGCCTATGATGCATACTTGTTTGCACCATGTTTACTTTCTTCTTATGTAGTGTTAGTTGATAATATATGATTGAAACAAAATTTAAAGGATACATAAAGTTGGTTTTTGATGGAAGACATTTCAAATATGAGAATTTCCCTCTGGACTCTTTGTTAACTGTGCTTTATTTGGTTTTATGGCTTTTGCTGCTTGTACATGCATATCATCTATACTTGTTTGTACCATATTTACTTTCTTTATATGAATTAGTAGTTGATAATATAAGACTGAAACAAAATTTACAGGCAGCATAAAGTAAATTTTAGAAGGAAGACATTTAAAAAATGAGAATCTGGATGCTTTATTTGGTTTTATGGCTGCACTCATGCGCATATCTCTACCATATTTTCTAATTGGAATGTTTGGATGATATGTAAAGATGTCAAATTGCAAGTTCATATAGTAAATGTCCTGATTGAGGTGGATCTGACTGCAGAGACTTTGTTAATTGTTTCCCTTTTTATGCTCTTGTTTGCAGGAGGGTGTAAATGTTTTGGCAGTCAATTATGGTTCTCCTGGTTCTCCCCATATCCTCGGAATTTGAAACTAGTAAGTCAGGATTATGCTCTTAGTCTGGTATTTCTTCCCCGTTATTAAGCACAGTACAGCAACTATACCCTCATCCGCCCCTATAATTGTTTGGCAGTTATGGTTCTATCATGGAGATAACTTTGAGCATGTTTCTTAGTTGCTGGGACTGCCATTAATGTCTGCTTAAAATTTTGGGGGACCATAATTATGTCAACCATCATAAATTATGAAATAGTTACATGTAAGTCTACATAGTCTGGTGGGGCTCTCTGAGTAAGGAAGTGATCTTGCCCTCATAAGTTATGGAACATCCATTTTGTTTTCATGCTAGCTTCATTGTGATTTCCTATGCAGATAAGTATGGTCTACTAGGCATTTTTATTTCTAATTGCAAGGCCACATTTTGGAGTATCATTACCTATATTACCTATTTATAAAAGTAAGCACTTGGTGGGATTAATTGGTTGACATTTGGCAGCCCAATTGGCTGCCATTTGGCAAGTAATTAAGCCTCCGAGGGCTTATGGCTGGAATTAAGGAAAGAAAAAGAAAAAGAAAAAGAAAAAAAGGAAAATAAGAATAAAAAAAGTAAAAAATAAAAGTAAACTGATTAAAAACATAATTATTAAAAAAAATAAAAATAAAATAAACGTGTGACATAAAAATATGCACTTAATCAAATAAAACAATAAATTTATCATATTTAATTACAATATAATTCATAAAATTATATATGGATTTTTAAATAAAACGCATATCAATCAATTATTGATTTCATGATAATAAAACATAAAAGCATACAATTAATGTTAATTAATGTGAGCTTAATTGATTGACGTTTGGAAGCCCAATTGGTTGCCATTTGTCAAGCAATGAAACCCCCAACGGATTATGGCTACTATTAAGGAAAGGAAAAAAGGGAAAAAAGGAAAATAAGAAGAAAAAAAGTAAAAGAACATGTAAAAAGATAAAGAATAAAATGACATAAAAACATTATTATTTAAAAAATAAAATAAATGTTTGGCATAAGAAAAATGCGCTTAATAAAATAAAACAATATATTTAACATATTTAATTATTATATAATTGACAAAAACATACATGGATTTTTAAACAAAAGGCATATCAATCAATTATTGATTTCATGATAATAAAAAGTAAAAGTATATAATTAATGTTAATTATTCATAATGTAAATGTTAATTTGATTTAATTTTTTTTTATTTTTATATGGTAAACATAATTTGCTTATTTGTTTATTTATATAGATTATGTTTTTTTATTTCATAATATTATTTTTATAATTTCAAAAAAAAAAACTAAAAGTGAAATATGTGTAACATAAAAATAATATACTTCATTATATGAAATAAAATAAGATTAGATAATACATTTGAACAGTTTACTTATTTTATAGTAATATAGTTATCTTTATAAGAAGTGATATGATGCATGAAAATTATATTTATGCTTAACTTCATCTTTTTTGTGCAAGTATAATTTTTGAGGGATGGAGACTCCAAATCAATTTTTTGATATGGGGATGCATACACACTTTTGATTAAACAAAATGCTTAAGTGCTAATTTTATCTTTTACCTTGTATTTCATTTTATTAACTATATATAAAAGTAAACTCTTGGGAGGATTAATTGCTTAGATAAAGAATACTATGATTAATATAAATAACTAATAAAAATATTTAATTAATGTTAATTACTATGATATAAATGTTGTAAGTTATTTTATGGTATGTTGATATTAGGATACATTAATATATATATAAAACATATATATATATAAATATTTTCAAAACTTGAAAAGATTCAAATGAAAAAGGTTTACACCATGGCAACGCGCCAACAAATCCTAGTAATATATGAAATGAGGCCTTACTAGCTCTTGGTTTTAATGATGGCTTTGAAGCTTTTATTTGTACTATTTAGATAGTGGTTATAATATGTTTGGTTGTTACGGTTGCTCTGGAAGTTAAAAAAAAGTGCATTTAGATACCAAAATAAGTAGTATTTTTAAAAAATTCACATTTCTGAAAATTAAATCCACGATTTTAGTTTTGCATGGGACAGTTTTATTTGAAAGGTTATTACATTTCAAATATGAATTAGACTTTTACTATTAGCTTTGTCCTTTCAGCGAACTTTGAGGAAGCAAAGAAGTTCTTAAATGAGTGTACCAAAATACAACAACAATATGGAGTCTATTTAACTAATATGGGTTGATTTTACGAAGCCTAACTTGTGAATAGATGAACTTGTATGTCACCTTTTAGTTGCTATTTTCAATGACCGTAAGCTTTCTAAAATTGCATAGGAGAGAATTTTGCATTCAGCACTAGTAAATAAGTTGATCAAGTGTCTTCTAAGATTGCAACTTGATGTGAACTGTGACTTCAGCTTATGAGTGAATTTTAGCATTCAACATGTTTAATTGTTTGCATTTTGTAGACTTGCATCAACTTGTTCTGTAAAATTTAAGTTCAATTGTGAATATATAGATATGATGGAACCTTGAAGAAGATGAAAGGAGATTGTTTTCTCTCAACTAAATTTGATTGCATAATGATTCCCTTTATTTGCATTTTATAATCTCTATTTCAGCCTGCAAAGTGGTCCTTCAGCTCACATACAGTTTTGAAGAACAGTGAGCAGGCACCGACGTATGTTTCTTTCGAAATTGTTCTTTCTCACTTTTTGCATCCTAGCTTTTCTTTTTCAACATTAGCATTATCTGTTCTTGGGAAATGGGATATTTTGTTCAACATATATTATCGATAGATCTAGCAATTTGTGTGTTTTTATCATATCTCATATTGTGTTTGATATGTGTAATGATACGAATTATTAAAACATGAATATGACACGTTTAATATACGTATTATATGCGATACGACACGATTAATATATGTACAATTAATTCGTTTAAATATTACATGAATAAATATGAATAATATTGATATACACGAATAAATACAATTAACACAAATATACATGAATAGACATGATTAACATGAATATATATAAGAATACGACTAAAATAATAAATAATTATAAACTATCCATTATTTGTTGCTTAATAAATTTAGCATATTAATAATATAAAAAAATACTTACATATTAAAAAAAAATTTAATACTCATTTATGTATTTACTATATATATTAATTTTAATTTATATTATATAACTATATTGATTTTTAGTATCAAATTCAAAATGATAACGTATTAAAAATTAAAGAATAAAATAATAATGTATACACTAATATTAATATTTATATTGTATTTATATTATTAATATAAAACAAATTTTATAATAATTATTAAATGAGTATCATAATTAAATGTTTAAAATAATTTTTATATGAAATTAAATAGTTAATTAAGTATCATAATTAAAAGATTAAAAATTAAAATAATCTTTATGTGTTTATTTTAAATTAAAATAAATATAAAAAATATGTTAAACATGTTAAATATATTAAATATGTATTTGTATGACAAAATTAAATTAAACATATTATTTATGTTATGTAACATGTTTTGACGAATTAATACATATACAACACGAATTATGTCATGTCAACACAAATAAAGAAACACATTTTTTTAAAACACATATATTATTTTTTTCGTATCATATCACCGTGTTATATATGAAATTATTAAGTCTAATTATCGATCAATCTTATAATAATAATTAATTAATAAATAAAACTAAAAGTAATTAGATCCTTAAAAATAAATAAAACCACTTTTAATTAATTAATTTATTTTTAAAAATCTAATCACTTTTAATTTTTTTCATTAATAAGATCATGTGTCGGGGTATTGAAATAAGAGCATGGAAATGCCAAACAAAGTCTTGTTTCTAAAGTATGAAGACATGGAGGAAGATCCAAACTTTCACATAAAGAAATTGGCGTAGTTTATTGGTTTCCCATTTTGTGTGAAAGAAGTGCCAACAGGGGCCATTAAAGATATATCAAAGCTTTGTAGCTTAAAAAATCTGAAGAATTTGAAGGCCAACAAAGAAGGAAAAATCCCAAACTCCACTTGAGGAAACAAAAGCTATTTTAGGAGTGGAGGTGGGTGACTATCTCAATTATTTCAGCCCTTCTGCAGTGGAACGTTTCATTAACAACAAATAGGGATATTAATTTTACCTGGATCTAAAAAAAAAAATTGACTTTTTATTCAAATCAGAATGAGGTTGTATAATATATTATGGGTATGAAAATGAAGATAAGAATGATTTTAAATTTTTATTGGATACGGGGATAGAAATAAGTAATGTAATATCTGTTTTGTACTCATAATTTATATATATTTATATATTTAGTAAATAATTTTTTATTAATAATATAAATTATTATTTTAGATTAATTAGAATTAATATATTTTTATTAAAAAATATATTAATACATATTTATAAAAAATTACCTAAATATACAAGACAAAAATAAAAAAGTTTTAAAAATAAATTTTATTTTTTATTTTTTTTAAAGCTATGACTATAGGACTACTTATACCTATTAAATATATACATGGATGAGAAGGAAGATAAATTTAATATATTCATCGAGTATGTGTATGAAGATGAATATAATTAAAAAATTTAAAAATAAAAATAAAAATTATTCTACTCCATTCATATCTTATTCATTGACATCTCTAATATCAACATCCCTAATATCATGGAAGAAAAACTGATTGGATTTGGTTTGACATTTAAAATGCCATTGCCTTGCTAGCCTAAATTCATCTCTTTAATTTCCAAGGAGCATTTACTTTTTTTTTTTTTAATATCTATGTATCTTTGGGGGCAGAAATTCTATGCACTTATTGTTAAAATAATACATGTCTATTAAGTTATTGCTTCTGATATTTTTATTAGAGAATTAATTTCTTGCTACCACACATGCATCTATCATTTATTTGTGCAATTAAATAATCTTTTCTTTTATATTCACATTATGAATTTTTTTGTTAAAAACTATTTTATTAAAAAATCGTATTTTATACTATAAAAAATAAAATAAATGAAATAAATGGAAAGGGTTGAGGTGACCTTTATTGCCTTTACATGGAAATTTTGAAAATATTAAAAAAATTGTGAATATATATGTAATTTAATAATAAATAAATATATTTTTCCTCATAAATTGAATTTGATTTTATTTTATTTAAAAAAAAATACTAGATAGATTTGAAAATAACTATTTGGAGTTGTCATAATTGAAGTATCATCGGCCAAAGTGACAATAGTCATTACTCGAAAAAAATGCAAGAAAAAGATACTAAGTATATATTGTCCTTTTTATTTTGGCTTTGGATACTCCTTTCCACACCTAAATTTGAGCAAGTTTCTTAGATTTTTTTCTAGGTTTCTTTGGTATTGTTATCTTTAATAGTGTTATAAGCTTATGACATTGATATCCTTGCCGATGTCGGGGTATTCAACATTTATACTCTTTGTGTTAATATTTGCTAAGATTATAAAATTTTAAATATTAAAAATTTAATATAAGTAATAAAATGTTATTTTTAATTTATTTTATTATTAAAGTTTAATATTAATTAATATAATTAATTTAATCACATAAAATATTATCAAATATTAATTTTAGTGGTCATGTTAATATGGACCATTGCAATATTTTTTATTCACATTATTTGATTATTAGTTAATAATTACTACATCATTATAAGTATTAATTAATAATATAAGAAATTATGTAATAAATTTTAATTAGATAAAAGAAATAATGAACAAAATAACAAATACATAAAGTAAGTATGAATTAATTAAATACATTGTTAATAAAAAGACATCTTTATTGTTAGAATTTGAAACTTTATAGATTTTAAGTTTAATTTTTAAATGAGCTTTACGACACAGCGTTACTTTTTCTTGGGCAACCTAATATCAAAGGTATACATTTCTATAGTGATTTATTTTATGACAATATATAATATTTATTGTTTTATTTATAATAAGTTTTTAGAATATGGAAAGCTTGGTCTAATTATTACTTTTTTTGTATTTTGTTTAAGCTTTCGCTTATCCAGGAATCCACCTATTAAGATTTTTATCAGAGAATTTTTGGATAAAAAACAAATATTTACATATGACATTTATCAATTTAGAGAAAACATATGATAGAGTTTTTTGAAAGATACTTTGATAGACCTTAACGAAGAAATGAGTTTTTTTAAAGTACATTAACATAGTTAAAGATATGTATGAATGAGTTGTAATAAATATGAGAACAGTTAGGGGGTATGATAGATAGCTTTCCCATTATTTCATGATTACATCAACGCTTAGCACTAATTCATTTATTTTTGCATTAGTTATGAATGAACTCACTAAATATATCCAAAATAAGATGTCATGATGTATATTATTTGCCGATGGTATAATCTTAGTTGTTAAAACTAATAATGATTTTAATGTGAAATTAGAATTGTGGAGGCATATATTAGAATTTTGAGGTTTTAAATTGAGTAGATCTAAAATTGAATATATAGAATACAAGTTTAGTAATCATAGGGAAGCAGGTGCTAGTGTGATTAAGTTAGATGATGAAATAGTATCAAAAAGTAGTCATTTTTTTTATATTTGGGATCAATTATTCAAAATGATGCTGAGATAAAAAGATATGTAAATCATAAGATTCAACAGGAAAGGTAAGGTGGCAAAATGCATCGAATATGTTGTGTGATCGTAATATACCTTTAAAGTTAAAAAAGGAAGCTGTATGAAATTACTATAAGACTTGAATTACTATATGGAATTGAGTGTTGGGTTGTTAAAAATAAAATGACAAGAAAATGAGCATAGCTGAGATGAAAATGCTTAAATGAATGTGTGGTAGACTAAAAGAGACAAAATCATAAATGAAAAAATTTTAAAAAAATTAGAGATAGTCCAAAATGAGAAAAAGATGAAAGAGGACTGTTTAAGATAAATTAGACGTGTAAAATGTAGGTTTATTTGTGCACTAGTTAAGAGAAATGAGTTTTTAGATTTAAGAGATACCAAACTTTTAAAGATAGACCACAAAAAACATGGATGTAAGTAATAAAAATTACCCTTAATTAGAGATAATATTAAAAAATGAAATAATAGTTTATTTATTTTCGTAATGTGTTTCCTTGTTGTGTAAAATGCTAAAATTAATGTATGCTTATTGTATTTTACACGAAAATTATGTGTTACAATTTGTATTAACACAAATATAAAACATATTTTCTTGGTTTTGTTTAACCCATATATAATTACTACTAATATTTTAAGCCATGTCACCGTCGTATCCTATTTTCATGTTATATCATCGTGTCATGTTTTAAATTATCAAGTTAAGGTAAACTAATTTGTTACCCATGTGATGCCCAGATTAATTTTATCTATTTAAATATATTTATGGACACATAAATAAATATTATTTAATTTACATGTATAACGTATATATAAAATACATATAATAGTTTTGGGTTAATTTGATAAAAGTGAGATAATTATGAAAAAATGTAAATGTTAATTAAAATATCAATTATTAAAATTAAAAATATAGTAGTAGTAATGGAAATAATTATTTTTTTTTCATTTGCACTGTCCAATTTTCATTTAAAATAGAAATAATACAAATGTGTTAAATAAAATTTTCAAAAAAATTCCATTTGCCCAAAGAATTAAAAGTATTATGATTCATGATTTATCAATTGTGTAACACTTTGAGCAAAAATACCCACGACTTCAAAATCAACGTAGAGCAAAAACAAATATAGATATGAATTCAATATTGTTAAAGGAAACAATAGAAAGATGTTACAACTTAACTAAAAGGTATAATAAGGAAAAGATTTGATAATTGTAGATTAATATATTGAT